ACACACACACACACACACACACACACACACACACACACACACAGCAAAAGAAAAATAAAACGAGTACTTTTTAAGTGTTCTAAGTGGTGAGACTTACAAGTCAAGTAACTTGTGTTAGCAATAGGAAAAGCTGGTGGAATCATTATATTAATTATATCTATGTACAGTCACCAGACAAACTGTGGAAGACTTCAACTCATGACATATGATAAAATAGAAAACCATGTATTCAACAATCAGTTCTTTAATTTGGCTGAAATTTATTTTTGGCTGTGATGGAGATCAAACTCAGGACCCAATATATACTAGAAAAGTGCTCCACTACCGAGCTACACCCACAGTCTTGGAGTTGATTTTGTTTGTGTTATGATTGATGAAGTTCTATTTATTATTACTTTAAGTTTTATATAAAAAGATGCAATTATAAATTCTGTCAATGTATCTTTAGAACTTTTAGATGGAAATTATTTGAAAATGTCATCTGTGAATAAAATGCAGTTTTGTTTCCTTTAAATAAGAAAAATATTTTAAACACTTTAGAGTAAGATAATTATTGATGTTTGAGGAGCTTATAGGATAATGTGGATTGGAAGAACAAGATCCTGGGGACAAGGCTTTGGAGTAGACCAAAAGTGGAATAATCATGGCTGATTTGTGCCAGCAAAACATGGGAAAGCAAAGAGGCTATTGAAAATGACAGTGAAGGAGGTTATCTAGGCTCACCGAATGGTTTTCGTGCACATTCATGTATGTAGTCAAGAGGTCAACAGTGTCTTCTCTTCCTCTATCACTCTCCATCTTTTTTATTTAGACATGGTCTCATACTGAACTCAACACTCAGCAGCTGACTAGAGTGACTAGGTAGTGAGCTTCAGGGATCAGCTGTGTCTATCCTACAATATGCTAAAGGTTACAGAGGCTTAGGGCCACACCTGGTTTTTTTTACATGGGTGCTCAGGATCTGAACTCGGGCCCTCATGTTTGTGTAGCAAACACTTCACCAACTGATCCATTACCCTAGCCCCTCATTGAATGGATTTAATGATGGAGAGAAAGAGAGAGAAGTGAAAAGAAAGGGAAAGAAAGGCAATTTTACACAAACAAATGTAAAGAATTTTTTAAAAGTTCCTGGAGATCCTTATTATCTGTCTGGCATTAGAAACAAAGAAATCTGGAAGATATTTTTCTGCTTATTTACCTCCTATTAGAAGAATTAAGAGATGTGGGCATTTGGTTCATCAGATAGTACCATGATTGTCTGACTCAGTCAATGGCAACGCAAATTCAGTAGTTGAACTAGAAACCTATTATAGAACCACAGACCAGAGAATTCCATGCATAAGCAAAACTGAACAAGGTTCTGTAGTAGGATACTGATAGAAATCCTGAAATGTTAAAAGCAAGTCCAAAGCCATTCCCTAAGGTGGGGCTGGTTGATAAACTAGAGCTCTTCAGTCCTTCTATATCCTAAGTACTTCTTTCATGCTAAATCTAGATGCCTACAAGAATTGCCTTTATGAGCTGGTTCCTCTATGAACCATTTTGCATGAGAGATTCTTGCTTTACATTTATGTGTAGCATAATAATTAACAGTGGACCCCTTCACTCTTGCTATCCTGCTCTATCAATTGTGTGGTTGCTCTGATTATGATCATTCAGGCAGTGCCATGATGCTACTACTCACTCCTTTCCAAAGTGATATAATATACATCTGTTAAAAGGTAGATAGACCCTCCAAGTACCAACTCTTTCTCTCGCAGCTCCTGTGAAGACCTTTCTCTCCTCTCAGCTCTCACAAAAGCCAAGTCTCCTCCTCTACTTCCTGGGAATGGGCTCTTCCAGATAGCAAAGTCCCAAACATAGAAGGGCTAACAGGCAGGATAAGTGACCACTGGACACATGACATGTTAACTAGGTCCATTGTTTTTCTGAACACCCCTTATCCAGGAATGTCCTTGGGACTTTTCAAACACATGCCTCAGCCAGAAGTACGGACAAAAACATTGTCTCTAAGTCTACTAAGGTGATGCCAGTGGATCTCAGACCTATTTCCTCATGTATAACACCCCTTTACTCTCTCACAAGGACCTTAAAAGAACAGGTTCTCCTGTCTGTGAAGTCTGAAGCTCTGTTTTGGAGATCCTGCTGCTTTATCATCTCTGATGAACCCTTTACTAAAAGGTTGATTTCTCTCTTGCTCACTCTTGTTCTCGTTCTCACTGTCTCTCTCCAACTGGGTGTCTAAAACTTTAAACCTAATAAAACCCATTCTCCATTGGGTAGGGAAAGCACTACAAATCATCTTGGAGATGAATTCTGAGATAACTTCTAAAGGCAATCCAAGAGGGGACTGGCCTTCTTTATAGAACGGCAGGAGTGATTGTTTAATAATCAAAAGCAGTTTGCTAATTGAGTGATCTTCTGGAAACCAATTAATGTTACCTAGCTATGTCTTAATTTGTAATAGAAGGAAAATGGATCTCTTTTGTTTTCATACTTAGAATATTATGGGGTTTGACGATTATAAAAACTTTTGGGAATCTGGCTTAGCAAGGAAACATAATTATACTAAAGTTTTAATGCATTGTTCACCCTAAGTGTATCTACACTTTTAACATTTCTTGGCATGCCAAATTTCACACTTTGGCACCTAATAAATAACTCTTGTAGTGTTCTATGTAACAACGAATAGATAATGCTGCTCCCACATCTTTATATCTATTTTGGGTAGCCATTGAGATGACCCGGTAAGTAAGTGTGCTTGCCCCCACGTCTGAGGACCTGAGTTCAGTCTCCATGGCCTACACGGTAGAAGGAAAGAATTGACCCCATAAAGCTGTTCTGTGATCTCTGAGCATTCACCATGGTACACATACGCATGTGCATAAAGAAATAAATATATGTAAAAAATTAAAAGTTAACTTGCTAGAAAGCTAAGATGCTAAAAGCTAAATGTACAATCAGTTTTTCATAAACTTCAGTAATGGGCACGTGCAATGGGCAGGGGTACTATTTGCACTAATAAGAGAAAGACCTACACTGTTTATTTTTATAATGTAAGCAAAGAGAGGAAGCAAATGAGACTTTTAAATTGTGATATTTGGTATATTTTAGAACAATGATTTGTTCTTTCTTCTACTTTTAGATGTTACCAATGTGGACATTGAAGAGACAATTTCTTATCTTTTTAAACATGATCCTGATTTCCAGACTCTTTGGGATTCCATGGTTCCCTAAAACTCTGCCTTGTGACGTCATTCTGGATGCTTCAAAGACCCATGTGCAAGTGGACTGCACAGACAAGCATTTGACGGAAATCCCTAACGGTATTCCCACCAACACCACTAACCTTACCCTCACCATTAACCATATACCAAACATTTCCCCAGGCTCTTTCCATGGGCTGAACCATCTGGAAGAGATTGATTTCAGATGCAACTGTGTACCTACTCAACTGGGGCCAAAAGACAATGTGTGTACCAAGAGGCTGCAGATTAGACCTGGAAGCTTTAGTAAACTCACTTACTTAAAATCTCTTTACCTGGATGGAAACCAGCTTCTAGAGATACCCCAGGATCTCCCATCTGGTTTACAGCTTCTGAGCCTTGAGGCCAACAATATTTTCTCCATCATGAAAGAGAATCTAACGGAACTGGTCAACATTGAAGAACTTTACCTGGGCCAAAACTGTTATTACGGCAATCCTTGCAATGTTTCCTATTTGATTGAAAAAGATGCCTTCCTAATTCTGAGAAACTTAAAAGTGCTCTCGCTGAAAGATAACAATATCACAGCTGTCCCTACCATTTTGCCATCTACTTTAACTGAACTCTATCTTTATAACAACATCATTGAAAAAATCCAAGAAGATGATTTTAATAACCTCAACCAACTGCAAATTCTTGACCTAAGTGGAAATTGCCCTCGTTGTTATAATGTCCCATATCCATGTACACCTTGTGAAAATAATTCCCCCTTACAGATCCACAAAAATGCGTTTGACACTTTGACAGAATTAAAAATTTTACGTCTACACAGTAACTCTCTTCAGCGTGTGCCCCCAAAATGGTTCAAAAATATGAAAAACCTTCAAGAACTAGACCTTTCCCAAAACTACTTGGCCAAAGAAATTGAAAATGCCAAGTTTTTGTATTTTCTTCCCAACCTTGCCATGTTGGATTTGTCTTTTAATTATGAACTTCAGGTCTACCATGGATCAATAAATTTACCACGTTCATTCTCTTCACTAAAAAACTTGAAAATTTTGCGCATCAAGGGGTATGTCTTTAAAGAGCTGAGTGACTTCAGCCTCTTTTCATTACGTAATCTTCACAATCTTGAAATTCTTGATCTTGGAACTAACTTTATAAAAATTGCTAACCTCAGCATATTTAAACAATTTGAAAACTTAAAAGTTATAGACCTTTCACTTAATAAGATATCACCCTCAGGAGATTCAAGTGAAGTTGGTTTCTGTTCTAATGCCAAAACTTCTGTAGAAAGTCATGGGCCCCAGGTCCTTGACACATTACATTATTTCAGATATGACGAATTTGCAAGGAGTTGTAGGTTCAAAAACAAAGGGTTAATTTCTTCCTTACCTTGTAATGACTCCTGCCACGCATATGGGCAGACCTTAGACCTAAGTAAAAACAATATATTTTTTGTGAAGCCCTCTGATTTTCAACATCTTTCTTTCCTCAAATGCCTCAACTTGTCAGGAAATGCCATCGGCCAAACTCTTAACGGCAGTGAATTCCAGCCTTTAAAAGAGCTGAAATATTTAGACTTCTCTAATAATAGGCTTGATTTACTCTACTCAACAGCTTTTGAAGAGCTTGAGAAACTAGAAGTTCTGGATTTAAGTAGTAACAGTCACTATTTTCAATCAGAAGGAATTACTCACATGCTAAACTTTACCAAAAAGCTAAAGCTCCTGAAGAAACTCATGATGAACAACAATGACATCTCTACTTCTGCCAGCAGAACCATGGAGAGTGAATCTCTCAAGATTCTGGAATTCAGCGGTAACCATTTAGATGTTTTATGGCGAGAAGGTGATAATAGGTTCTTACAATTCTTCAAGAATCTACTAAGCTTAGAGAAATTAGATATCTCTAGAAATTCTCTGAATTTCTTGCGCCCCGCAGTTTTTGAAGGTATGCCATCAAATCTAAGGATTCTCTCCTTGGCTGAAAATAGGTTCAAAAACTTCAGTTGGGAAAATCTCCGCTTACTGGAGAAGCTGGAGACTTTGGACCTTAGCCACAACCAATTGACAACAGTCCCTGATAGGTTAGCCAACTGTTCCAAAAGTATCAGTAAACTGATTCTTAAGCACAATAAAATCAGGTATCTGAAAAAGTATTTTCTAGAAGGTGCTTTGCAGTTGCGCTATCTGGACCTCAGTTCAAATAAAATCCAGATCATCCAAAAAACTAGCTTCCCAGAAAATGTTCTCAACAATATGGAGATGTTGCTTTTGCATCACAATCAGTTTCTGTGCAACTGTGATGCTGTGTGGTTTGTCTGGTGGGTCAATCATACAGAGGTCACTATTCCTTACCTGGCCACAGGAGTGACTTGTGCAGGGCCAGGAACACACAAAGGTCAGAGTGTGGTGTCCCTGGATCTGTATACTTGTGAGTTAGATCCCACTCATCTGATTCTCTTCTCACTTACCACGGCTGCAGCCCTCTTTCTGATGATAATAATGACAGCAAGTCACCTCTATTTCTGGGACGTGTGGTACAGTTACCATTTCTGTAAGGCCAAGATAAAAGGGTATCGGCGCCTGCAATCAATGGAATCTTGCTATGATGCTTTTATTGTGTATGACACTAAAGACCCAGCTGTGACAGAATGGGTGTGGCATGAGCTGGTGGTTAAATTGGAAGATCCAAGAGAGAAACATTTTAACTTATGCCTAGAGGAAAGGGACTGGATACCAGGTCAGCCAGTTCTAGAAAACCTTTCCCATAGCATACAGCTCAGCAAAAAGACAGTGTTTGTGATGACAGAGAAATATGCAAAAACTGAGAGTTTTAAGGTGGCATTTTATTTGTCCCATCAGAGGCTCATGGATGAAAAAGTGGATGTGATTATCTTGGTATTCCTCGAGAAGCTCCTGAAGAAGTCCAAGTTTCTTCAGCTCCGGAAGAGACTCTGCAGGAATTCTGTCCTTGAGTGGCCAAGAAATCCACAGGCTCACCCATACTTCTGGCAGTGTCTGAAAAACGCTCTGGCCACAGACAATCATATGGTTTATAGTCAGATGTTCAAGGAAACGGTCTAGCTCTTTGCAAAACATGACTGCCTAGGAAATGCCTCACTGCCTGAATTTTCTCATAATTGTCTCACTCAAAGAGTGTCTGGAAATTTTCTAATAGCTAGGGCTGCCCAGATTAGGGAGAAACCACTAACATATATGACAAAACGGTTATAGATTTTTATGATATATCACATCTTATTTCTTTGTGTCTCCATTCAGATTTGAGTCTCTTCCCTAGCTCTTTTACGAAACAGTGTTGGGACAAGGGTGGCTGCAAGGGGAAAAGGCTTTGATTCACCTGCATCAAATTGAGAGGAGCCATACTTCTGACCCTAAGCACTAGTATTTTCAGAAATACAGAAAAAATATACAAGCTATGTCTCTCTGGTACCAAACTGTACCACAGTTAGTTTAATGAAAAAAACAAAAACAAAAACAGAAACAAACAAAAAAACAAAAATAAAAAAGAACAAAAAACAAAACCGAGGAACTCCTCAGCAAGTTGCATCACTGTCATGTAATACCCTCTTTGGTGCACTACAAACCTTGGTACTGGACAGAAGACTGCTGCTTTGGCATCTCTTATTCCTTTCTCTTGGGTCTGTTATGGGCTCCATAGGGAAACAGAGAAATATTTTTGCCTTCAATGGACATGGTCTGCTTACAAATGGGAAAATAAAATAATATCCTCTTATGCAAAATACTTTTATATTTGATAATTTACATGCTGAAATATGTTATTTGCACTGCAACACACAATTTCTGAAGTAAACTGGACTCATCCAATGATCTTTCAAAGTACTTTACTAACTAATGTTACTTTGTTAACTAAGCAGATATTTGTGTTTGCAACCGTGATGCATCAATATTAGATAGCGCTGATGGTAAATACAAGAGGGGAGTGTAAAGAATATGCATTTATAGTTATCAAGGATGAAAATTAGATGGATGTAAATTCTATAAATTCATTTCATTTTTGAAGGGAGATCGCAAGGCAAAGAGATCGACAGACTTTAGCGTGAGAAATCATCAGGGTGTTTCTTTTCATCAGGTTTTGTTATGCATGTGTGTATGTATGTGTGCTCATGAGTGTGAGTGTATATGTATGTAAAGGTGTGCATGCACGTGTGTGCTCATGTGGGTGCTTGTGCAGGCCAGGGGACAAGCTCAGGTGTAATCCTCAGGAACGTTGTCCACTTTGTTTGAGACAATGTCTCTTTTAGACCTGGAGCTCACCAGCTGGACCTGACTGGCTGGCCAGCAACCCCCAGGGATCTCCCTCTCTCTGATTCCCCAGTGCTGGGGTTACAAGTGCCCACTACCATGACTGGCATTTTTACATAGCTTCTGGGCATGAAACTCATAATGCTTGCAAGACAAGTGTTTTACTGACTGATCACACACACACACATAAACCACCACCACCACCACCACCATCACCAGCCTGAAAGCATCGGTTTTGAATTTCAGCTTTCACATTCAGAGACAGCATAAAGGACCAAGATGTTCTTAAGATGAAGATGAACTGGGTGTACATTTACCTGAGTTCAATGTTTGAAACCTGACCAACTTGCCATTTGGAAAATAGTGCGTATAGGTTCAAAACCTGGAACATTAGCTTTGGGGTAAGTGTACTTTCCTCATATGCGGAAATACCAAAATTTTACCTTAAGTATAGCTGGGGAAATATGTACATAAATTATTTACAAAGGCCACAATTAACAAGGATCAACAATTTCCAAACTAATCTATGGAATGACAGAGAGATAATTAAAGGTACTGGAGTCAGGGACTGGAGAGATTGCTCAGTGTTTAAGAGCACTGGCTGCTCTTGCAGAGGTTTTTAGGTTGATGTTTAGTTCCCAACACCCACATGGAGGCTAATAAGCATCCATAACCCTAGTTCCAGAGCAATCTAACACACTCTTCTGACTTCCATGGGCATTGCACGACATGGATGTACTTAACATTTATGTAGCCAATATACTTGTAAACACACACACACACACACACACACACACATATGTGTGTGCGTGTGTGTCTTTTTGAAACAGGCTCTCCTTGTAGCCCCAGCTCACCTGAAACTCACTATGTAGACCAGGCTGGCCTGGAACTCACAGAGATCTGCCTGCCTCTGCCTCCCAAGTGCTGGGACTAAAGGCATGCACTACCATATCCAGCATTTATATTTTTTAAGTTACTAGAGTCAGCTATTTCACAGCTTCTGTTAGCTTCATTGTATTTAGTAGATTAGTGTTTTCCTCAGTGAAAACAAAAATAATGTCACAAAAATCAACTCTGGGTCATTATATATTATAGCAAACAAATTTATAAAGTTTAAGATAGCTTTATGATTTATAAGCTACAAATCATTTGAAGACAACACAAGCATCTTCTGAAATGGATTAGGAGGAAGAGAAACTAAAAATGATGTAACTCAGAAACCACAGTGTATTTCAACATGAAATTATGTAGTGGTTTGGTGTAGGAAAACAACCAGGAGCCTACCAACAGATGTTTTTGTTTAATTCCTTCCTTGCCATGACAAGCCACTCTTTTAACTCTCTGAGGCTCTTTGTACAAGTTCATAGGACAGGAGCTGCTTATAGAGTGCTCAGAATGACGTTACCACCCCGGGCTACTAGAAGATCATGACTCCATGGTCCCACATAGAGCTCTGAATGTGAGGTTTCTCTGATGATCCCTGGATGGCTCTGGCCCAGAAAGGACTTACAGATTCCCAACAAATCCCACTCCACGACCAAGATTTAGTCTTCAGTTCCTTGCAACCATGGGCCTGATGAGGGTATGTCTGTTGTCCTCAGATAGATACTGCATCTCAGCAAAACTTGGGTAGCAAGTCAGGGTAGCATTGGGCAGGGTATATTTTATGAATACAAAAAAGACAAAGGAAGCATCTCCAGTTTGGAGAGGAGAGAAAAGATGAATGTGATGTAGCACTATTCCTCACTCGGGTTCCCTGTGTCCAGAATCTTATCTACTCACAGCTTTTTCTGGCTGAACCTTTTTCAGTCTACTAAAAGTAGTTTGGGAATAGAGAGCACATAAAGGGATGTAATGATCTGAGAATGTGGGCATCTTGAACCATCTCCAATGAAGCTGTGATGAGGGTAATAAGGGGCCACAAAATTCGTTAGGATGAAATCTGTTTCCCATCATTAAAACAAGCCTTTTATTTACTTCTTCCTTCTCACCTAGCCTTGATGAATGAGAGAACCAGATTGTACACCATGCTAGTTATTTGTAGCCAGACTTTAAAATGGTGGTGGAACTGACAATTAAGTATTACCCCCTGCCTCTTTTGCATATGCTCAGTGAGCAGGGAAAACTGGTTGTGGAGAAGACAGTTTAGATGGACTGGGGGAACTCACTCCTCCTTGGAGCTTTGAGCTGCCAGGCCCCAGGGAATTATTAATAATTGTGGGATACATTACCAGTAGCATCTGATGGAAGGTTGAGTCTTTGACCCTAAGGAACATTGGGAACTTATTTGTACCAACTGAAGCCCAAATAGCCAGCAATGTGGGAGGGAACAACTGAAGAGTTAATGTAGTGAAGAGAACATGAAACCAACCCACTAGGCGACAACCACAGAGAAGGGGAAAGGTTGAAAGGAGAAAAAGTCCCAAACCTCTGACGAGACAGTGTGGGAATTCGTGGTGACATAGGGCACAAGGTTTCTGGTGAAAAGGAAATTACAATAGGGCAATTCCATGCTTTTATTTCTTTGTTGCTCTGTTCTCCTTTCGTCCCCTTCTTCCTCTCAGCTTCCTTTGGGGTCTAGATGGCCACAAGTCTTCTGTAATGACCAAGAAAGAGAAGAAGACAGATGGAGGTGGGTATATTTGGACTTTTGGGTTCAAATCTTTCTCACACACCTGATTCAGTGAGCATAACATTCTGTAACTGGCTTGGTCAGACCTTCCCTAGATGACATTGGCTGGACCCCCTACCACATTCAAATGCATGTCCTTTCTACTTATCACAACTTTGAAGCAAAGGAGTTAAGAAACTAGATAAAATCTCACACTCTGCCTTGAAGATAAACTGACTTTCAGGCTGAAATTCATTTCTAACATGTTTGTTAAAACATCTTGGTGATTTCATTTTGCTTGTTTATTCTTGTCCCCCTTTTTCTGGTCGTTTTGAGACAGGGTCTCCCTGTAGTCCCAACTGGCCTAGAACTCAGTATGTAGACCATTCTGGCCAAAAACTCACAGTTTTCCCGAGTGCTGGGCCTAAGCCTAAAGGTGTGCACCACCACACCTGGCTGCTCTTATCCCTTCCTGATAATTTATAGTAACAAAAACTTTTAGAAAAGATCAGGCTTAAAATGGCTGCTGAGTCACAGTGTTTCACATTAATACCCTCCAAAAATCATCTGGTAGGGTCTGGAAGGAAAGGGGAAGTCCTGATGACCTTGTAGAAGGCATCCCTAGAACCCACCAGTAGATGATGTAGAGAGCAGGCAGTTGCTTCCACAGATACAGAATGAATCAACATTCTTCTCTCTGGATGCAGCTCCTAAGGATATGGCTAGGCAGAGATGCACAACAAGGATGCCCTCTTGCTCTTTTTGGCCACATGTAACCACATAGCATCATTATCAGGGGCACTGCAGTAGAATGTACATTCTAGGGATTTGTGTGACAGTGAACTGTAAGAGTTGACCTCTTGAGTAAGAACTGGTACTGACATCTACATGAATCCATATCTGAGACCCTTCAGCCAAGGGGACCAATCTGCTATGAAGGTCCCTTGAGTTATTTTGGCTAGTTTGGAATTGGTTGCTCTCCAGCAGTCACTTTGTAACAGTGAATAAAATCCTTGTGCAAGGTCTAAATGGAGATCTCCTATACAGGGCCTAGTTAGTCAGTGATGTGCATTAAATAAAACAGATTAAAGAACTTAGTTTTCTTCCTGGACCTATACTTTCCATAATGCAGTTGCCTTTAGATTGAGACATCGTGACTGAAATCCCTGGGTAATGTAACCTATTAGGGATTGTTTTAACATATTATTCCTGCTTGTTTGCACATCATGATAGAATGTGTGAGAATAGAAACTTTCCAGAATAAGCCAACAAATAAACGAGCAGGATGCATTTTATTTGGGGGTAAGGGTTGAAGCAAGGTCTTGTTGTGTAGCCCAGGCTGACATCAAGCTTGTAGCGATCCAGTTTCAGCCTCTCATATTCTGGGATTACAGAGGTGTACTTTAAAATAATCTTTACTTTGGATTTTGCTTATCTGGACTGGACCACAAAAAGGATTGATAGGCAAGAAGGAAGTGATGAGGCTCTTACGAAGATGGAGGGATGAGATGAAGACACTGGTACCTCCCCAATTTTCTCCAGTAGTGTTGTTCGAGGAAGGAAAGAAATTACGTTTATAAATAGCAAATGCCGATGAAATGTTTGATTTATTGCATTAAATCATACCATCAAGTCTATGAGATTGGTATTAGTAGTTTAAAGATAATGGGTGAACTTAGAAATGAAGATGTGGTTAGAGAGGTTAAGTCAACTGC